CGGGGGAAGGAGAGATGGCTGTCCTGCTTTTTCCAGTATTGGAGGAGGATCTACTGCTGACAAAAAGCTATGCGAGGTGAATTTTTCATCTGAGTTATGGCTGGTAACTGTGGGTCAATTTTTTTTCCCTTTTGTCTAATGCACTTGAATATTTTGAGGAAACTAATTCATGAAGAAATGTTCTTAATACCACTACTGTAGGAATTTTCAACAGGCTTTTTTTTTTTTTGCAGATGGCTTGACTGCTCTTTCATTTTCCATTAGTTCCTTGACTGTGATTGGAATGTTGGCAGCTATCACTTACACAGTAAGTTGTTATGCAAGTGTTTCAGCTCTCTATGATACTTAAAGTGATCACAGACTATACCTGTATGGAAAACTGTCATCATGCTACGTAGCTTCAACAGTGTCCTCTATCTCTGGATTTTCATGGTTTGAAACACTACTTCTAACTTGGAATGAGAGTTAACTTTTTTACTGCAAGTTTGAAAACTGCTGTTTCAGTACTTGAGCATAAATCAGACTTAATTTCAATGTGTTTCTGCAAGGGGAGGTCATGTTATTCCTTATGGCTTGTAACATGTCAAGAGGCTCCTCCTGCTTTTAGGCCTCTGTCTCTTTCTCTATCCAACAATGGAGAACCAAATACTGCTTTTTTTATTCATTGAACATATAATGTAGACTTGGTCTGGCTAGTCTAATACACTAAATATAACCTTTACTACAACTTTTCTACATTGATTTCTTTTTTTATCTTTGCAGAGCTTTCCAGTGAAAAGTCTGGCAGAATAGCTTGACTTGTAGAGAAGTATGCAAAATGTTCTTCATCATAACTTTTGCCTTTTGTAAAAGGCTGTTCTTCAATAAATGAAAAAGCAATGACTTTAACAGAGCATTGCTTCACAGCTCTCTTTCTAGAATTTGAGTAAGGGTAAATTTATATGCATGTCAGGATTCAGTTTTAGGTATGAAAGATTCTATGAAGAATCTGCAGCATCTTCTGTGATGTGTGCCTTAGATCAGGAATAGCTAAAAACTTAAAAGAAAGTAGAGTTTGAAACTGTTTAGAGACTTGTTTTCTAAAGCCTGGTAAATAGTCTTGTTAGTCCTAGGCATGCAACTAAACTACTGCACTACTTTCTATAGAAAGATTCAGAAGCGCTCATTCTGTAACTGATTGTAAATCATATGATTAAGGCTATGCAAGTTCAACTGCTTGACTCTTGTTTTTATGTGCAAAGGGAGGGAACCATTTTAACTTATTAGCTTTTTTATTGCTTGCAACTCATCTTCATATGATGGTTTATTCCATGCATTTCTTACATCAAAAGTGGCAATTGGAATAGTTTGGCCAACATCTGATGTTCACATAGTTACTTGCTTTTCCCATCTGTTCTATTTCTTCAGTCACTGGATAATCAGACTGTCTGTAACGTATTAACCTGTCATTGAGGTAAAAGTTCACAACAAAGATGGAGCTGTAAAGCTTAAGTTAACTGTAGACAAAGCTTTAAAACTTCTGAGAAGTCAGTGTCTTCCTGATAGATTTTTATCTTTAAGTTCATGTCCTTGCTAAAATAGCTTTCTCTTCCATTGCAGTCTGGCTCTAACATAGTATAGTTGTTCCCACATAGCTTTGCTAGTGAATTCTAAGTGGCTCTATAAAAATAACTCATGCAGTAAGTTGTGGGTTTTTTTGAAGCATTGCTAGCCAAAGAGATGTCTTGTGGTCAGGCAAAGGATAAATGGATGAAACTGTTGTAGAACAAGGATACATGAAAGAGGGAAGCGTTTTAGTGATAAAAACAAACTGGGTAAGGGGGTAAAGTACCTGTTCAATGCTACCTTTAGACTCTTAAATCTAAATTGACTAACAAGCATATCTAATCATTTTTTGTCTCTTCATACTGGTGACTTCAGCTGGTATATATTAGAGTAGGATTATGGGAGGCAATTCAGTACAGGTTTTTAGATGTGTCAGAACACTGGCAGCTTGGTGATGAGGCTCTGTGCAGTAGGTGGGAGAGCAGTTGAATCAGCCAGTAGGTACCTCTGGTAACCTGAACTGCCATCAGCCCTATTGACTAAGTGCTTTAATTTCACCTGAATCATAAACTTTATTACTTTAAGCCTTTTATGAGTGACGTGGGTCACTAAATCATTCAGGTTATATGCTGACATTTAGATCATGTGCTGGTCAAAAAAGATCTAGACCTTCACTTAAAAGCTAACATGTTACTACGTGTTAAATTTGTTTCCCTTAATTACGGAAAGAAAGATTAATCTCTTGTTCAGTTACATTACTGCAGAGCATGTGTAGTGGTTTTTAACCTCCATGAGAGTAACATTAAGAACAAACTCATTAGCTGGGAGAACATCCTCAGTGTTTCTTTCCCAAACAACTACCTAAGTATTTTTTTTACAACTCTTAGTAAATATCTGTAAGCATCTAAAATGCTAGATTGTTTTGTTTAGCACAGATTTATTGCTGACTGAAATGTAAACCAAGTTTTAAAAAAGTAGCATTTAGAAGTTTTTAATTTATTCCTGCTAATATTCCCTACTTCTGATGTTATTTCGCTATTTATTCTTGAGCACAGACTGGTTATAGGCACCGAATATGTGACTTCCATTTAATGTTCAGTAACTTCAGGGCGCTGTTGTCTGTGTGGGTTCTCAGATGAAGACAATACCTCTGTCCTCAATGTTGTTGCCTTAGTCTTACTGTATTTAGGACTTGCACAAATGCTTGATGTTCCACCTCATTTACCACCCAGTATGAGAACTAAAGTAGTCTTCTCTGAATGCCTTAATTACTAAGATTTCTAGGCTCATTTGCTGTTTTGAAAACTTCAACCGGGCTCTCCATGTAAATCCTTGGAGCATGGAATTACTATTTACTTTAAATGCTCTACTTGATCATTCTGAAACTATCCTTTATGTTTTACAGTAGGTATTGAGACAGGGTGGAAGAAATGGAGGAGCTATTTCACAGAAGTTTTTAGGGATGAACTCACACAGGAGGTGGTTGTTGTCTACCTCTGATATGAGTGTGTTTTTGTCACTGCAGGCAATTGTAGAACCTTATGTTGAAACAGTGAGCTGGCTTTGATACATGTATGGACCAGGGCACAAATGTGTTGTGAACAGTGAAAACCACATATTGGGTCTATGTTCTCAAAGTTGGAGCAGGAATAGATTTTTTTCTTATGCTCTTGTGCTTTCATAACACTTTGCCCACTGCCAGTGATGTTCAGACTTCCATGCTTAGAGCAGTTTCTACCTATAATGTCATGACCGCATGACCAGTGCTGTTCTCATGGTCTGAAGAGTGAATTGCAAGCATGACCTAGGCAGCATATGGATGCCATGTACCTGCATTCCAGTTAATGTTGCAGGCTGGGCTTTTCCCAGTGGTATGGCTTAATGCAAAAGTTGCTTCCGTAGTGAAAAGTTCCTGGGCTGTCACATTCCCCTAAGTCTCAGGGAGAGATTGTCCCAGAGTGTAGCCTCTCGGTCTCTACCAATTTGGATTACTCAACTCCCTGCACTTGGGAGGAGGAGCAGCATGATTCTGGAAGGAGTAACTGTTTTTCTCTAGATAACTTCCCACTTATTTGAGTTGTGGATTCTTTTTGCTGTTAGTCCTGTATATAAAAAAAGATTGCTTCTAGATAAAAGATAAAACAAAGGCACATCTGTGAGGCATGGTCTGTAATGCTTACCTCCTGACAAGTAAGTAGTTGTGCTCCTGTATTTTTCAGCCTCCTGCATGCCTATCAAATTGTTTGTCCTAGTTTCTAAAGGTGGGAGGCCTTTGTGCATAGTCATCAAACCACTGTTTGATAATCAGTGGTAGATTTTTTTTTAAGTACCAAAAGAGAATACCTTTTATATAAGGGTGAGCACAAGAAAAGAGACCCCTAATTCAAAACACTCCACAAATGCTTAGCAGATTCTAGAAAAAAGGGTAGAGAGAATAGATGAGGACACAATGTGTGGTAGCTGAGTTCCCTTGTCTCTAACAGAGGTGTTCTCACATCTTTGGTTTATACCAATTAAGAGTTGAGCATTTGTAGTACAGACATAACTGAATTTTTTTGATGTCCCCCTGAATTACGAACATTGTCAGTCTGTTCCACTGCCAGTGCCGCAATTACAGTGTTAAAGGGAAGCTAGGAACAGGTGTATCTGGTCTTCTGTATATTCATATTCACCTTCTTACTCTAAAGAAGAAAATCTATTATAAATTAACATCTAATGAAGGTTGTATTGTGATAAGACATGTTAACAAATACTTTCATGTCTAATTAAGAATGATTTTACATTGAATGCCTACTAGTTTAGCAGAAAGTACTAAAAGTAAATAGGAATGCTGTGCCTGCACTGACTGCAGTTGACTGATTTAATCTTAATGTTTTTTGTGGAAGAGTACCATAAAACAGATGAATCAAGTGATTCTATTTAAGTTGCTTGGAGTACAATTTATCCGTTCTACAATTAGTCAAATGTATGTTAACATTTCTGCTTTGTGTGGCCTTCAGTGTGAGGAATTAGATTATGGCTGTTTTAAAATTTCAGTTTTGCATTGTGGAAATATACAACACCTGAGAAGTTGAGGAAAAGAAGCTTTGGCACTGGCAGCAGGCAGCCTTGAGTTTGAGTAGATGTTGAGAGCAAAAGCTCATTTCTGCATGTGTATGCTCCTAGGCTTTCTCTATGAAAGCATATTCTCCTGCTTCCACAGGAAGATATGTGTAGGGAGGTGGTGTTATTCAGATTAGCTACAGTTTAAATTATGGAACTAACAAATTTACCCCAATGACTAATGTAGTTAAAATATGATCTTAAGGAGTACAGTCAGCACTGATCCAGTGTTCTGGGCCTCTCTTTAAGGTCTGGTTTGATTTAATGTATTACTCTGAAGTACATGGTAAGCTATTTGTGCAACAAAAGAGACTTATCGAACCACACAATATTGTAACATTTGGTATGTTGGGTTTTGGGGGGTCAGGGGGTGGATGGGGGCAAGACAAATTGAAGCATCATGCTGGACCAGAGTTGCTGACAACTGAGGACTTGTGTTACTGAGTATGATAGAAAGGTAGGTAACACTACTGTTTGATGTGGTTGTCATCATATTAGCTTGCTGGTTTTCATTTTCAAAATCAATTCACTAAACTTGAATTAGAAGAGCTTTTCTCATAGTTTGAGGGGAAAAATGCAGAATTTCACTGATTTGTGAGTGTCCTGGTTTCAGCCAGGACAGAGCTGGTTTTCTTCACAGAAGCTAGTGTGAGACTGTGT